TAACTGAAACAGTCTTCATGAAGCAACCACCTGGTTTTGAGAGTTCTGTTTTTCCTAATGCAGTTTGCAAGCTAAACAAAGCACTTTATGGTCTCAAGCGAGCCCCAAGAGCTTGGTTTGATCGATTGAAGGCTGCTTCATAACTTAAAGGTTTTCAAAACTCAGTATCAGATTCAAGTTTGTTTATCCTGAAGCAAGACACTGGTTCTATTTATGTTTTAGTGTATGTGGATGACATACTAATCACAGGTTCTGATCAGGTCTTTATTAAGCTGTTGATGAAAGATCTCAATGATCATTTTGCCTTAAAGACACTTGGCTCACTCAAATATTTTCTGGGGTTGGAAGCAACAAGAGATTTAGCAGGTATTCACTTAAAACAGTCTAAGTATGCTTCAGATTTTTTAGTTCGAACCAAAATGATGGAGGCACATGCATGTTCAACTCCAATGACTATTGGTTTCAAACTCAGCTCAACTGACAGTGAGCTGTTTCAGAATCCCAGCCTGTACAGAAGTACTATAAGAGCACCACAATACTTAACTCTTACAAGACCAGATATTAGCTACACTGTAAACAAGTTAAGTTAGTTTTTACAAGCACCTACTGATCTTCAATGGCAAACTTGTAAAAGGGTGCTAAGGTACATTAAAGATACTCTGGATTTTGGCCTTGTGTTCAAACCAGCAAGCACTCTTCATGTTGAGTGCTATACTGATGCTAATTGGGGAGGAAATATAGAGGATCGAAGATCTACCAGTGGCTTTTGTGTATACTTAGGACCAAACTTAATTCAGTGGAGTTCTAGGAAACAGAAAGTTGTTGCTCTTTCCTACACTGAAGCTGAATATAGAGTCCTTGTTCACACAGCCACAGAGATAGCCTAGCTTGAAAATATGTTTACTGAGCTTGGCCTAACCTTTCACACTATACCAGTAATCTGGTGTGATGATGTTAGTGCTGGTGCTCTTGCATCTAATCTCGTATTTCATGCTCGAACCAAACATATTGAGATTGACGCTAATTATGTTCGAGAACAAGTCCTGGCAAAAAAGCTAGCCATCCAATATGTGCCCTCCAATTGCCCTCCAAGCTACAAATTGCGGATCTTCTTACAAAAGCACTCTCAGTTTCTCAGTTTACTGAGTTAAGAGCCAAACTGAATGTGGGGTCATTAGGAAATGTGTGCAAGAAACTGATACCTGATAGTTGGTTCAGTGGTGAGATTTTGTTTTATCTGTGGTTTTGCAGCTTAGTTAATTAATCTGCAGTACTGATAACTTGATGGTTTACAGATTCTCTTACTTTGTTTTTCATCTACTCAGTTAGTTGATCTGGAGTTATTAATCTGGAGTGAGTTGATCTGGAGTTATTAATCTGGAGTGATTGTTCAGGAGTTATCTCTGATTGTTCTGGAGTTCTAATGATTTTTTTTTTTTGGAGTTCTGATGATTGGTCTGGGTTATTGATCTGAAGTGCTTGTTCTAGAGTTATTTCTGGTTGTTCTAGAGTATTTTTTTTTTTTTTTTAATTGGTGTTATTTGAAGATTCTAATAATTGATTATGTTGGTGCTCTTTGAAGGTTCTGGTAATTGATTTTTGTAGCAGCACAGATAACTATCTTGCTTCTGGTCTGGGTTGCAACTCAGTTAGTTGATCTTCTGCAGTGCTGATAAATTTCTGCAAGCTCAGATAACTGTTCTGATTGCAGCTCAGAACTGAAATTTTCCTTGTTATGTTGTTTTTTAGTTGGTGCATGTGTTCTGGTATTGCTGGTGGATGTGTTCTGGTATTGCAGATCAGATGTTTTTCTTCAAGTTCAGTTGATTGATGTTGGTTCAATCCAAATACTTGGTTTGCCTTGCAGTTCTGCTATTGCAGATGTGGCTTGCCTTGCAGTTCTGTTATTGCAGACTTGACACAGATTTGAAGTTGAAGTTTCTTGTGTTGTTCTGCTTCTGCAGATTTGAAGTTTTCTTTAGTGAGAAAATGCAGCTCAGCTATTTGGTTATTTAGTGAGAAAATGCAGCCCAGCCATTTTTGGTTCAATGCAGTTAGTTCTTTAGTTTGAACAATGATGAATCAAATGTAGCTGAGTCAAATTGCGTGATGATCAAATGCAGCTGAGCTAAGTTGCATTTTTCAGCAACTATGCAGTCCATTTTTCCAGCAGCTTATGCAGTCCAGTTTGAGAGGTAATGTTGGACAAATTCAGCACAATGCAGACAGTGCAATGTAAATAGCTTAGGCAGTCCAGTTTGAGGGGCAATGTTGGACAAATGTCAAAGTGCAAATTAATTGAAGGAAACGCTGCCGTTTTAGCTCAAATAATAAACATTCAAAACACTGTCGTTTAGAGTACTAAAGTCTACTGAATTGTATACGTAAAACAGTAGCTTACTCTTCTTTGTAATTAACGAAAAAGTGAAGTAAAAGGAATTTGTGTTTCCTCTGTTCTCACTCTCTCTCTCCGTTTTCAGTTCTCTGTTCTTCAGTTGTAATCTTACACTTGCAAATAGTTGATATACTCACTAAAGCTCTTTATGTTGCTTAATTTACCTTGCTCACTCAAAAGCTCACCATCAGTAGTTTTCCCAAACATGTTTCCTTTGACAACTAATTGTTTGTTCTCCTTTTTCAAGTTGCAGCTGCAGGACAACTTTGCTTAAGAGGGGCTACATATTGATATCTGATGAATGCCGAATGTTGTAGTTTTGGTTAAAAGTTGTAGTTTTGCTTGAATGTTGCAGTTTTGGTTGAATGTTGTAGTTTTGTTTGAATGCTGAAGTTTTGGTTGAATGTTGCAATTTTGGTTAGATTTATGCTAAATGTTGTATGCTGCACTTTTGGTTGAATGTTGAATGCTGAATGTTGCGGTTTTGGTTGAATGCTGCAGTTTTGGTTTAGTTGTTGTAGTATTGGTTAATTTTCTACTAAATGATGAATGATGTAGTTTTGGTTTAGTTGCTATAGACTTGGTTAATTTTCTATTGACTACTGAATGTTGCAGTTTTGGTTTAGTGGCTGCAGTATTGGTTAATTTTCTGTTGACTACTGAAAGCTACAGTATTGGTTAATTCTTTGTTGAATGCTTAATGCTATAGTTTTGGTTTAGTTGCTATAATTTTGGTTTAATTTTGTACCAAACAGTTAGTGTACTGAAGTTGCTGAAATTGAAGTTGCTGCAAATGGTCAGTATACTGAAGTTGTTGAAATTGAAGTTACTACATATAGTTATTGGAGTTAATTCAGTTTGAAATTTTACTTGAGTCAGTTAAATTTGTTGTTCACTGAAGTTGTGATTGTGAAGAAGATCAATGAATTTATTGTAATTAAGTGAGCAGTAATTATTGAAGATTACTTGATGAGCTGGTTGCTGAAAATTACTGAATAGTGAAGTCAAATGCAAGTTGCAGCCGCAGAAAAGCTTTGCTTGAGGGGGACTGTCAAGATACAAGTTATCAGCAGTAGTTAGTCTTGATTAGTTTTGCAATCAATTGTAACAGTTAGAGTCAAAGTCAAATGATAGTCTTTGTACAGTATAACATCTATAAATTAATAACCTTGGACCATATAAATTCTATTAATTAAAATAGGTGTTAATTAATCGATAAATTAATATTTTATTAATTTATAGAATGTATTTATGATTCCACAAACAGACATTTAATCAACTAAAAATTCATTTTAATTTACTAATCTAATTAATTGAATATGAATTAATCCACTAAATATAGAATATCAATAAAGAATGGGGGTTATATGTAATTTTGCATATCAAAAATTCAAAATGGAATGAAGATACACGTGACGAAGTGGGTGGAGGCGCATATACATATATATATAATATTAAAGTTTTGAGGGCATGTGATTAAGAGAATCAAAATAGATTAGATTCATTAATTATTTGATTAATTAGGTGTATAATTAGAATTAGGATCTAAGTAAAAGTGTTTTAATATTATTAAAAGAATTATTTTTGAATAAAATAATATATTTGATTGAATAATATTTACTTCAATTATCAAGTTCTAAAGATATTTATAGTAATTATATATAATAAATTGATAAACATTACTTAATTAAATGGATAGATATTTAATTAATTTTAGTATGACAACTCATGGTATATTAAGAAATGTAAGTGTTTTGCAATAAAACTTAAATTAGTGACATGAAACAAACTTAGAGTCATACTAATTATTTAATTAAAGATTTATAAATCATATATTAATATTAATATTTGATTTGATTTGATTCTTTTGTCACAATTAATGTTAATTTAACTTATGGACAAATTCAAAAACTTCATTTTCACTCTAGTAATTATAATATTGTATGAATTATTTGTATCTATTCATAAGTACGAATCAAAGTTCAATTGAGTATTAAAGATAAGTGATTAGTCGTTAATTTATCAAAATACAAAAATCAGAACCAACTACTAATTGTGCACGAAACTTTTTTCGAAACAATTTAATTATTAGCAATTATATTTTATTTCTCTATTAATAAATTAATAAAATGTAGTAGCATCTAGAATTCTAGTTGGGGTGGTGCATCCTTTTACTGAAATTCAATTCCCAAAATTAATTCCACAACTATATATACTTTGATGTAAAATTTATATATAAAAAATATATTTCCAAAAACATTTGAAATACAATACCAAATACACCCTGGGAACAATAGTTGGCTGGTTGAAGCAAATGTGTTTTTTAAAACTAATTGTAGGATGTATGTGTGAATTATGTGAACTGTCAGGGCTGTATGGCATATTTTTAGGGTGTATTTGTCATTTTTTAAATTAATAGGAGCTAAAAGAACTTATAGGTACATGTGAAAGGAACCGGAACCTGTATTTCTGGTTCAATGCAGTTCTGATTCCTTTTGCTAGGAACCAACCGGTTTCGATTCCCAACAAATCTGCAGGATAACCGAAACTGCTTACCCCTAAAATTCATTGTAATTATGTACTTAATTAAATAATATTCACTGTATATAATTGCATTAATTTAGACAATGGACAATCTGAAACGTTATTACAAGCACTCAATTATAAATCCTAAAATCAAATTTATTTAGACAGATATGACATTAAGCCTTCCTCTCCATGGTCTTTTTATTTATAGTTCACCCATCAATTGACATCTTTCTTAACCAGTCCTCCAGTAATGACTGCACGTTTGATAATTCTGAGAGATTCTTCAAGGTCATCACATAGCTGATGAGGATCAGGAATTATGCCATCATCAACTGATAACACGAAAGTCATCTTGTTGGCATAACCGACAACATGAATCATCAATCCCTGCAATATTGATTTCAGAGTTAAGTTGATAAAATGAAATAAACCTAGCAACACAAATTCACATAATGAAAGATATATCAAACGATCATCATAAATACTCATATCTAATCAGCATTGTTGAACATCAAGCACTAAATACTTACTAAATTAGTTAAGATTAAGTTGATAATGACAATGATCGGGGGAACCTTAGTCTATTGTTAAAGATTATATATTGTGAAGATAGACTCAACATAAATCAATATTTAATTGTTATTTTGGGAGCAGGAGTAGAACAGACAATTTCAAAACGATCTCTGCATTCATTAGGATGTTGAGATAACCAAGAACACAAAGATAGCTTGAAGAGAACTTGAATCTCCACACTCTTTAGCAAGAGATTTCAAGTCTCACGGAGAATTAAATTTGTATTTGGAAAGTGCAAAGTTTCAGGATAGTCATTATAAATATATATCTATAGAGAGAGAGAGAGAGAGTAGTATATATATATATATATAGAGAGAGAGAGAGAGAGAGAGTAGTGTATATATATATAGAGAGAGAGAGAGTAGTATATATATAGAGAGAGAGAGAGAGTAGTACTATACGTACAATAATGCTAGACGTATAAAAAGTTATGTTGTATAGAAACTTTTGTATATATATATTAGCCAAACCCCGCTGCAGATGTAGATTCACAATTTTGTAGACTATAGGCCGCTATAAATGTCCAATATACTATACTTATGGTGGTGGTGTTGGTATTTATTATGTTATTTGTGAGTTCTTTCGTGATTAACACTTCTTTTATTTGATCGGCTAATATGTTCATGAGCCCTTCACGCTTTCAAAAGGATATATACTTACATTGGGTTGTCCATAACAACTTGGGGCTAAATAAGCCACTGGATGGCCATAAAAACTGATTTCTTCTTGGGGTCCAGGCATATTTGAGAACCACAATGTTGTTTGAGATGGAAAGCTAGCCAACTGCATGCACATGATTGATCATTAGTCAAAGGTAGTTTGCATAGTGAAATTCAGTAACCTCGACTAAATATATTCAATGTCAACATATTTCAAGCAACTCTAGATGACTAGTATCGATCCCCTTGATGTTAAGTTATTACAGGTGTCATACCCTCTAAAAGCTTAGACGAGAGCTCAAAATTATTTTAGTCCAATAGAGGCCCTTAAATGCAAACTTAAGTTATTATTATTATTATTATTATTATTATTATTTTGCATTTTGTTTTATCCAGTTACAATGTTGGTTATGGAGGAGTCTGGATACTTCATGTTAAGTTACCATTAATGACATACCACCAAAAAGTTTAGGTGAGGGCTCAACATTAATTTAGTCCAATAGTTATAGGCCCACTTACATGCAAACTTTATTTTTTGTTCACTTTTTTCAATCCAGTTACAATGTGAGGATTCAAGAAAGGTCTATTACTACGTTAATTATTATACCATGCACTTAAAAACTTAAACTAGTAGATGAGGACTCAATATTATATTAGCCCAATACTTCAAAAAAAAAATAATAATAATAAAAAAATAGTAATCATAGAGCATACCTTCATACCACAAAACTTGAGAAAATATTTAGCAAAAAAATAGGAAAATAAAGCCTCTAGAGATTTTTTTTTCCTATCCATGGTAGCCTTAGCTTCTCGAAGATAGTCTAATGGATTATCTCGTAATCCAATTGTAAAAGGATAGATCAAATAACCGATCTGGTTACCCCACTTTGCTTTAGTACCCTTCTTCATCATATCAGCTAGCTCCTACAAAAATATATTAAATGTTCGTTAAATCTAATGATAAAATTTACACAATTCCAATGGTATAATATAAATCACTGAATCTGAACGTGTAATCTACACTCACTGGAATCCCTGGAATTGGCCTAATGTTTATGAAAAAAGTTGCTCTAAGACAAATATTATTTGGGAGATTGTTACTTCTTTCTGATGATCCCTCGTCAATCTTGTTACTCTCCCCTGTAATGTTTTGTTATGAATCAGTCTAAGCAAGTACAAATGTTAAATTAAAGATAATATCTGTTAATAAAAATTTATTGGAAGAATGTGGCTTCAATTAATGGTACCAAATAATCTAAAGCTTCTATATATATATATATATATATATATTATTGGAGTAATATATTTATATTGTTGAATCTTCACCTACTAACTTAGGTTTTTGGGTGAGATAACAACTCGACATAGTATCAAAGTCAAAAGTGTAATGTTGGAATGTCTGGCCGGATAAAAGAAAAAAATATCCAAATTGCATGTATAGAGACGTTGAGAACTCACCTACTAATTTACCCTTTTAGGTAGAATGGCAACTTAATATATATACTCACCATATTTTCGATTGAGATAACGAGACAAAGCAGCTTGGGTGATTCCTAGCATAACATCATTGATTGTCTACAATAAACCAATGCCACAAAATAATTAGTACACTAGCTATTATATATGCTGATGTATGTTAAGGAGAGAGCTTCAAAATATTTTTCTAAAAATGCAAATTAATTAAACAACTTACACTCCCCATTGCATTCCTTACAAGCTTGATATCATCAAAACAGACCGATCTATGAACAATTCGTCGAGGATTAGAGCCAGTCTCCAAGGTCCCTTTGAGGGGAGTTTTCGTATCCCCTAAGAGCTTAAATGCCGTAGCAAGAAACATCACAACATCAACAAGAGTGTTCCAAAACAGCGACATAACCAACCATAATTTGATTAGTTTTCCCCAGAACCCTCCAGATGAGTTGCTGAAATTGACTTTCTTAAACAATGGAAGGGTGGGAAGTTCCTCTGGGTTAGAAACCTTTTGAGTAGAAGCAAGGAACAAGGACATGAGAGAAGCACCATCGCCAAGAGAATGATGTATTCGAAACACACCGACAGATTCAGCATCAGAGGTTTTAAGATTAAGGAGATGGAGATCCCACATTGGCATTGACATTTTGATTCTATTCTTGCTCAGGTTTGAGACGTAATCTTCCACAAACTTATCAGGTGAGTCATTGCTATTTGGATCTAGTTCTGGTACTATAACGTGATCGTCTAAATTCACCTTTGTTGGAACCCATATTAGCCTCCCACCATTCTTCTCATCCGCAACCTTCCATTAATAAATATAATAAAAGTTAGCAATAATATAGTTATAAAATATCACTTCGGAGATGAATTCAACCGTGTATAAGCATTATAAATATATAAAATTAATATCAGGACATCCTGATTGGAAAATAACCAATTAAACTGTATGACATAAATATAACTCATGTATATCAGATGATTATATTCAGAAACATGAATAGATCCTGTTTCATAAAATTGTTAGAACACACCATAAAAATCTAGCTATAGCTTCTCATAATTTTTACCTGCAAGCTAGAGAAACGAGGGTGCCTAAGTAAAGTATGCGGTAACCTTTCTTTAACAACTTCGGGGTTGATTTTTGTCTTCCCTCCAATTATGGCAATAATGTAGACGTTGGAATCAGGTTCATGAAACATACGAGCAACCGGACTCAAAGGTTGATTTTCCAAACTGTCGTTCAATGGGATCGGCTCTTTAACATCTGTCTTCACTCTGATACGTTTACGAAGAGTTTCCATTTTCAGTATAAATGGCTATAGAAATTAAGCAAAAGAATATAGAGACACAAGACCTTCGTTGTTTAAGTGAATATATCCACGGACTCTCACTTCATATTTATATCTACACAAGGCTAGGGAGGCTATGTTACAGGGGCGGACCCAGGCCCTTTGAGGGTAGGCCCAGGCCTGCCCTCAACTTTTAAAAATAAATTGTAAAGTTTTTTTAAAGGTTAAAAAAAATGAAAAAGTAGATTTTGTCTTTTTTAATATTCCACTTTTTCTTCCCCAATTCCCAACTTCTCTTTTACGGTAAAAGTTTTACATGTGACGGCTGAGGTTCAACCAGCAAGTCTGCAACAGAAATTAAAAAAATATCACTCTCGACTTCTCTCACTCACGTCTCTTGGAGGTTAGCCTACTAAAGTATTAAAGTTTTAAGTTTAAATAAGCTCCTTAGGTGGTTAAATCTATAATTTAACAAAAATATTTATCGTGTTAAATTAAAATATGCCTTATATATTGTGTATCATGTATTTAAATGTATTATGGTTTGTTTATGTATCTTAATCAAGAGATAGTTAATTAAGTTGCTAAATTAATTAGTTTTTTTTTTTTTTATAGGAATCTCTTTGACTCTTATTTTTTGGATCCCATTTTGGCACTAACTCATTATATGTTTATTGGATTTGGAATCCAAAGCATTAACAAATAAGATTATGATATCCAATTATTTTAAGAGACTAAAGAAAAGTCCAGCAAAAAATGTTGATAGAGACTCTACTGATATTGAGGTTAATCAAACCCTATTAGAAGAAGAAGCCCCACAACAGCGACAACAACACCAAGTAAAGAAGCTCAACCTTCAATCGGGGTGTTCAATTTAGATGAGCTTGAAACTTACCCATCTAAATTGAACACCCCAAATCTTGTAAAGAATACTTTGCGTAATCGAATGGGAGATGAGTGGATAAACAATTGCTTAGTAGTTTACATTGAAAAGGAAGTTTTTGCTACAATTCAAAATATAGATATCATTGAACATTTTCAGAATATAATGAAGCGAAAAATCGTGTTAAATTGAACATCTTCAGGTATACTATTCTAACTTGCTTTCATTTTTAAATAATCAATATTCATATTATTTAGATCTTTAGGTATACCATTCTAACTTGATTTTTGGGTCAATATGTAGAGGATGTGTGGATCTTTAATATAGACGGTTGAGTTAGAATGTTAACATCTGGATTTGGAGTGATTGTAATCCATCTCTTTCTAAACCTTTGTGTATTTTACTTTTGTTAGAGTTGTGATTGAGCTCTAAATTTGTGTAGAATATTTTTGGTGGATTTATGGTTATTGTAAACTCTTTTGATTATATTAGATTTAAGTAGATGATTAGATTCCCGTGGTTTTTTTTATCTCTTCACATTGAAGAGGTTTTTCCACATAAAAATTTTCTTGTGTATCCTTGTGAATTTGATGTTATTTTCTTATGTTTTTACTAGTTGATTGGCAAACAGTGACAGAGCGACATGCCCCCCCAGGCAAAAATCATGGGTCCGCCACTGGCTATGTATGATTTCTTAGATCTTTGGTTGTCATTGTCTTGGAGGGAAAATATAGCACTTGTATTTCAAAGACGTAATTGACTATCCGGTAAGATAATAATAACAAACATAAGCAATAGAAGAAAATAAAATAAACCCACAAATATGTTGAGATTTACTGAATATTTCAAGAATATATTGTAATCTTTTAATTATGTTAGTCATAGAAAATTCATAATGTATTTGATATCTTATAATCTCCTAATTATGTTGGTATATTGTATCGACATAATTAGGAGATTACTAGAATATATTCTATCTATAAAAACCTGTAATCATGAGTGTAAAGTAATGAATTGAAAACATATCATTCTTGAATTTCACATGGTATCAGAGCCACTCTCTGATCTAAAAAAACATTGTAGAGCAGCCGCTGAAAAAAAAAAAACATCGACGAGTAATCATCCCATCGTCATCAATCCAAGAAGGAGAAAACAACTGTAATCAATCCAACCCAACAACCAATCCTCCAAACTTCGGTCACAACAATCACTCCAAACATAAACCAACACAACCAAACCATCATTGCTATACCACCAGATTATCCAGTTATAATCCAAAACACCAAAATCCAATCAAACTCAACCACCCCACCAACTTTGGCCACTGCCAACAACCAAAATACAAAGAAAAGAAAACCAGAACTCCAAACAAAGTCAGCATCAAGCTGACGCCAAATTCCAGCCACCTTTAACCAATTGTCCGATAAACAATCCAGTTTCCGCTGGTTGATCTCGATCGTCGATCTGCACAGTTTTTGCTAGTTGATCTCGCTGCCGTTGTCGAATATTGTTGAATCCCAAACCAAAAAAATTGTTCGTCGCCAACGCCCCACAGCCACCAATCAAGGTTCTTGCCACCGCGTCAGCCAATTGTCAACAACACTTGGAAAACCAAGAGTTGAGGCTGTTGATCTGCTGCTGTTGTCGTCTACTGCCCATCTGCTATTGTCGTTTACCGTCGATCTGCTACCACCGAAACTAATGTCATCAATCTGACTATTGCTGTTGAGAGGAGACACCAATTTATTTTTTACCGTGAGTTTGTTTTTTATTTTTTACAGACTCTCTCTTTCCTTTCATGTTTTTTAAGGAAAAAAAAAAAAAAAAGGTAAAAATAAGTGTCAAAAAAAGTCAAAGTCAAAGGTCAAAGATATCAAAGTAAAAAAAAAAAAAGGAGGGTCAAATAGTTCCCAAAAAAAAGGGTCAAGGTCAACAAAGTCAAACAAAAAACAGGGGGAGGATGTGTGGAGAAATTCTACGAAGCCCGGTTCCAAATTTGGAAGCAAGTTACTTAGAGGCGACTAAACCCGGCATGCTCAATAACGATAAAATGAAAAGTTCTACTGATGTTGTTGTGAAAAAGAAAGCAGATGTCCAACAATCTTCATCATTTGTAGCTACTGCTGGAAATGATGGTAAGTCTTTAAATATGTGTACATTTGTTTCTAATAGTGCATGGATAATTGATTTTGGTGTTATCGATCATATGACATTTGATTCTAGGCATGTTTCTAACCTTAAGTCATCCTCACAAAACTTTGTTTCTACTGCCAATAGTGAATCTAACCGGGTCATTTGGAAAGGTTCGTTAACCCTAAAAAACTCTTTACACCTAGATTTTGTCTTAGTTGTCCCATCCCTAATTTATAACTTGTTGTCTGTCTCCAAAATAACCAAAAGCTTATCTTATGTGGTGATTTTTTTGCCCGAATTTTGTGAGTTTAAAAATATTCAAACAAAGCAGACAATTTGTTGTGATATTAGATGGGGCAATTGTATTACTAGGATTTAGAGTCACAAAGTTCTACTGTGTTACAACAGCCTTTGACTGTAGATTACTCCAAAAGGGGTAAACAAAAATCTGACATTTGGTTATGGCATCGGCGCCTCGAACATGCTTTGTTCGGCTGTCTGAAGAAACTTTTTCCAAGTTTGTTTGAAAAAAAATGATATCAGTAACTTCTGCTGTGACATGTTTGTGAATTATCCAAAAGTCATCGAGTCTCATTCCCAATAACATTAAACAAAAGTCCAAGTCCTTTTATGCTTATACATTTAGATGTGTAAGGGTCATCACAAGTTACTACTTTAGGTGGATCCTGATGGTTTGTTACCTTTGTTGATGATTGTACAAGGATGACTTGGGTATGTCTAATGAAATCCAAAGGGGAGGTTAATTTTCTATTTCAGAGATTTCACAAAATGGTTTATACGTAGTATAATGCACAGATTCAGGTCCTCCAAAGTGATAATGAAGGAGAATATCATAGTTCAGATGTTCAACAATACCTGGCAACACATAGTATCATTCATCAAACTACTTTTCCCAACACACCCCAAAAAAATGGTGTTGCTAAGTGAAAAAATAGGCATTTATTGGAGGTCGTTCGTGCCTCATTAATAGAAGCTCACATGTTGTTATCTTTTTGGGGAAAAGCTCTTACTTTTGCAGCCTACCTTATCAATCGGGTACCCTCTAGATCAACTGGGTTCCAAACACCTTTTCAGGCTCTTAGTAACATAGTGAATGATCCAATGGTCTAAAACTTACTGCCTCATGTTTTTGGTTGTATCGCCTTTGTTCACCTCCATAAACATCAGTACAACAAGTTGTCCCCTCGTGCATTGAAATTTGTTTTCGTTGGGTTGGTGTTCATCAAAATGGGTATCAATGTTATCATCCTCCAACTCAACAAACGTTTGTGACGATGGATGTTGTCTTCCATGAAGAATTGATGTATTTTGCTTTTGAGTCTGAACTTCAGAGGGAGTATTGTCAAGAAGAAATTAGACTCTTGATTATGTTGTTCAAGATGTGGGGGACTATAAGTCTCAAACTAGACCTGTTGTTCGACAAGAAAATGAAATGGATGATGAAGATGTGGAGGTGGAGGTGGAGGTGGTATCAAACTCGTTCGTAGAAACTTCTCAGTACGAGCCTCTCACTCCTGTATGTCATAACCATCATTTGTTGAGAATGTTCATGCTTTAGAGTTTGAACCAATTGAGTCCGAATCAATTAGGAAACAGTTACCACCACGAAGTACTAGAGGGATTCCTAAACCAACATACAAACCTGAGATATCTAGTAAGGTCAAATACCCCATGAGCCATTATGTGTTTAACCATTGTTTGTCAGAATCAAATATGTCATTTGTGAATCAATTATCTATTATATCTATTTTTAACAGTGTGTAGGAAGCCTTATCTGATCCAAAATGGAAAGCTGCAATGAATGAACAGATGAACTCATTATAGAAGAATGAGACCTGGGAATTTGTTGATCTTCCACTAGAAAAGAAGATTGTTGGATGTCGATGGGTTTACACTGTGAAGTGTAAAGCTGATGGTACAATCGAATGATTTAAAGCAACACTAGTAGCAAAAGGGTACACTCAAACTCATGGGATAGACTATATAGAGACATTTGCACCCGTAGCCAAAATCAACATAGTACATGCCTTATTATCTTTGGCTGCAAACCTAGATTGGCCGTTACAGCAGTTTGATGTGAAGAATGCTTTCTTACATGGAGAATTTTCTGAAGAGATCTATATGGATCCTCCACCAGGGTGTATTTTACCAGGGAAACATAGCCAAAAGGTATGTAAGTTAAAGAAGTCACTGTATGGGTTAAAACAATCTCTGAGGGCATGGTTTGGGAGGTTCACCAAGGCTATGAAGTTTTTTGGCTACCATCAGAACAATTCAGATCACACATTATTCCTTAAAAAACAGTAAGACTGCACTTATTGTATATGTGGATGATATGGTGGTGACAGGAAATGATCCAGAAGAAAGGAAGGCTCTGCAAAAGTGCTTCTTAGAAGAATTCGAGATGAAAGACCTAGGTTCTTTGAAATATTTTCTCAGAATCGAAGTGTCTCAATCTTATAAAGGTATCTTTCTATCACAAAGAATGTATGCCGTGGATGTACTACAGGAAACTAGTATATCAGCATGTCAACCAGTTGATACACCAATTAAAGAAGGTTTGAAATTGGGAGTCAAAGTTGATCAAGTACCAATTGACAAAAGGAGATACCAGTGACTTATGGGAGATTGATGTACTTATCTCACACTAGGCTAGATCTTACTTATGCCTTGAGTTAGTCAGTTCATGCACAATCCTGGAGAACAACATATGAATGCAGTCACGCATATCTTAAGATATTTAAAACATGCTCCTGGAAAGGGATTCCTGTTTACTAAAAATAAGGACTACTAAAATGTGAATGCATATACTGATGCTGATTGGGCTAGAGCAGTGGATGACAGGCGATCTACTTCTAGTTATTTCACTTTTTTAGGTGGTAATCTAGTCACGTGGAGAAGCAAAAAATAGAATGTTGTGGCACGCTCAAGCGCCGAAGCAAAATTTAGAGGAATGGCACTTGGGATTTGTGAAGCTTTGTGGCTAAGATTTCTCCTACAAGATTTGGGCTATTAACCTAATCAAACAATCCAGTTATATTGTGATAATAAAGTAGCATGTGATATTGCTCACAATCTAGTTCAACATGATCGTTTGAAGCATGTTGAGGTAGATAGATTTTTCATCAAAGAAAAACTGGATGAAAAGATTATTGAATTACCCAAGATTCGATCGGAGGATCAGTTGGCCAATATTCTTACCAAGGCTGTCTCCAAGCGTATTTTTTCACAAGTGTTAGATAAGTTGGGCATGTGTGACATCTACACACTAACTTGAGGGAGATTGTTAAGATTTACTCAATATTTCAAGAATATATTGTAATCTCCTAATTATGTTAGTCTTAGGATATTCATAATATATTTGATATCCTATAATCTCCTAATTATGTCGGTATATTGTTTTGATATAATTAGGAGATTACGTAGAGTGTATTCTATCTATAAAAACCTATAATCATAAGTGCAAAGTAATAAATTGAAAATATACAATTCTTTAATTTCACAAAATATTTTTACTAACAACTTTCTCTTACTTTCTTTATTAATGAAAATAACACGATACAAAGTCATGACAAAACCTACTAATAATTGAATAATATTACACTTAGAAGTTTTCAAACATATATATATAAAGTTATATGCTAAAATATAAATGGTAAAGTGGATATACAAAGTTAGCTCATTATTTGATATGTCATTGAAGAAAAAAAAAATCAAATAAAACAGGGTACCACATTATCCATACCACCCTCTAGTGAGTTTATGCCTCATTTAACTTTTTCTCTCTTTTTTATCTTTTAATTAATTATGACCGGTAGTTATGAAATGTGATAATGCCTTTGTCAAACATGCATTGTCTTATGATACCATATCAAGAATATCACCTTTGTACCATATACTTATGTCATTTGAAGGAGAAAAAATTACATGGGACAATCCCACCACATCATTATGCTGATTTGGTGAGACTATCCAGTAAAATACTACTAAATGTTTACACTTAGCAAAAAAAATTGAACCCTTATTTTATTCAATTAAACTCTTATGTTCAAGCTTTCAATCAAGAAAATTTTGAACCGCCATCCTACTTTCTCTTTCATCTCTTTTAGGTCCACCGTTTTTTTCTCTCTCAATCTCTCACAACTACTATTCTCTGTCCAAGTCACCATGCTCTGGCCAAGTCACTGTTATCTGGCAACTCTAGCATCCATAGATTCCTAAATGAATTTTTAACCAAATATCCATAAAATCCTGACTGAATTATTAACCAAGGGATGCTACTCAAGTAGTTATTCTGTTCTCATAGTGTTATGCCTTAAGAAAGCAAGGCTGATGTAGGCCAAGTCAGCATGCAAAAGTCAGAACTTGGGAGACCCACAGTCGAGTCATGTGACGAAGGAGCAGCCTACTTCTGTCAGAGTAATGGGCGCACGCCAGACCAGCCAAGAGCTGAAGAGCTTCCACGTGTCCAATTGCATGCACCAAATCGCGCGAATCGTTCTGGGAAATGGGCAATGGGACGTAAAGGAAGATTTGTACAGATAATCCCACCAACTCACAGATTCAGTAATCATCACCTTAATCCATCCCACTATAAATTGAGAGTTCCTCTCTCAATTTCGGGATTAGCTAATCTCTAAAAGAAACAGCATATACTATATCTCTCTCACTTGTAAAGTCAGCTCACTGACCGTGACCAGGTCTCTATCATTAATACACATCAATGGACGTAGGATATGCTTCCTTAAAGCATCCGAACCACTTTAAACACTGTCTTGTCATTCCTTTTTACTCTTTTATCATTCACATGTGACTTCTGGGCCAGCTCAACTCTTTCACACGTGTGTTTAGTTGGTGTCAAAATCACGCATCAACAATTTGGCGCTAGAAGGAGGGCCCTGATTTAGTGTTCATCCTTCATCAGGAGAATCTCTAACTTACCAGTCCCATAACAGCAAATAGCTCATCGATTTGAACCTGAGCGAACCAACCAGAGTACTGAGGGGATCCCCCAAATGCAGGAGGACACCTCTCTTAGGGTACCCTCGTTCCCGCAGACCACCGCAAAGGATATCTTGTCAAGTTCACAACTTGACCCAGCCATCCTAAGCTACCTAGAGAGGTTCAACAATACTCTCCAAGTGGTCACGCAGAGATTGGACCGTTTGGACCAAGATGTGCCACCCAAATCAAATGAGGCAGTGCATCCGCCAAAAACGCCTGCAGGTCACGCGAAAGAACGGCAAAGGGCGATAGCCCGTGCCACGAGCACTGCAGTGTGTCGAAGAAAGGGTAAGCAAGTAGCGAAAAATGGGCCTAAGAGCTCTAAAGGCCCAGCGAACACCGACCACATCCCGAGTAGAATACCCGTGGCGCTGAGACTCGATGAAAGGATACAACCTGAGCCATCCCATGCCACGTCGTGTGAAAACCCCCACAAAAATGCTGGGCAGGGCAATTCTCATCACCGCCAGAGCAATCTTGATCGTCGTGCGGGAAGTTACCACACTCCATTGGTCGGTTCGCACCACCGCGGAGGTCGTGAAAGTTCCCCAAATAACGTAATGTCATCACACGGCTCTAGTCAGCATGTGTCAAGGTTGACCGGAACTGCCAGCAGAGACGAGGAGGAATCTGACCTATGGTCATTCCTCAACCGTAAAAGTGAGGGTCGCACCCATATTGCGAAAAGTAATCCACAGGTAGCGCCGCTACCTCAAATCGAAGAGCTGTAGCGAGCTTTTGATCAACTAAAAGCTTAGTAGTTATGAGCAAGGGCAGGTCGCATCAGCGTCTCCATTTTCTCTAGCGGTATTAGCCGCTCCACTCTCATCGAGATTTAGAATGCCCGACATGTGGGCGTTCGAGGGAAATTCTGATCTGCAAGATCATTTATATGAATTCAATGACCTGATGGAGCTTCACCAGGTCTCGGATTTAGCAAAGTGTCATTATTTGGCAATGACCTTGACCTCTCATGCCAAACGGTGGTTCAGGTCGCTCCCGACAAGATCGATCAATTCGTGGCCTCAGATGAGCACGACGTTCTGGAGGCACTTCCAAGCGAACTGAAAGTTCTCAATGCCTTTGAGCTACCTCAGCAATATAAGGCAAGAGAGGGATGAATCCCTCCAATCGTATATAGACTGATTCCACAGAGAACTCAACAAAGTAGCTCACACTCCCGAAGAGTCTGTTCGGACTCTCATCATAGCAGGAGTTTATCCACAGACTGACTTGTGGAAAGAGCTACAGGCTGAGGATGATGTTTCCCGCACCCACTTTTACAGCCTTGCGAAGAAGTACCTCCGTATTGAAAATTCTGTATCGGCACTCTACCGCCGCGACTGCGGCGCCTCAGGTAGTGCACTTGGTTGGGAGGAAAGAGTGAGAGTTGATCGTAGATGGGCTCCTGACGATCAACGAAAAGGAAAGAAGTCACGCTATAAGCCCAAAAAGTCCTATACCCTAGTTTCTCGTCGCGATTGCGACAGGAATCAATATACGCCTTTGAATGCGTTTGTATCGGCTGTTCTTGACAAATTAGAAGTGGCAAGCCTGCTCGGAGAACCTGAGCCCATGAAAAATCCTCCATCGGCCAGGAATAGTAAAAAATATTGTCGCTATCATCGGGATAATAGGCACCATACCGATAAGTGCCGAGCTCTCAAGCAGGCGATTGAAGACCTCATTAAGCAGGGACACTTTAAGGAATATATTGATGACTTCGCTCCCTCGCAAGAGAAAAATCAAGGGGAACCAAGTAAGAAGCATTGTGATTGCAAAAGGGTGTGCACCCTCAATTTAATCTTTAGGGGACCGCACTTCACAAGGAACTCGCGAGGTGACCAGGAAAGGTATGCTCGTGCAGCCCATCACGACACCATCAGAATGATGAGCACGATGCAGCAGCCACAAAAGGTTCGCAAAGAGGAGGAAATTACCTTCCCCGAAAAGGATGCAGCTTGATTGCATCAGCCCCACGATAACGCTCTTGTGATCACGCCCCTAATAGGGCACCATAACATCCGTAGGATGTTGGTGGATAACGAAAGTGCTGTAAACATCCTGTTCGCTTCAACTTTTGAAAGGATGAATTTGGACGAGGCCGACCTGAAGCCTACCTCGTTCCCTTTATATAGTTTTACAGGGGACCACCTGCTCCCCAAAGGAACGATCTCACTCCCAGTCATGTTGGGTGACTTCGACAAAGTGACCAAGGTAATTGAGTTCTTGGTGGTGGATTGCTCATCCGCTTTTAATGGAATCCTAGGGCGACCTCTGCTGAGACACTTCAAAGCAGTCATTTCGATATACCATTTGAAGATGAAGTTCCCCACCCCGACGGGGATCGGGGAAGTCAGTGGGTCTCAGCGGGCATCTCGCGACTGTTATGTGAAAGCAGTACAGATTGTGTGTAAAGGAAAAGGCATCTCGAGCGGTATTCCCCGACAAGCAATGGCAATCAGTCGGATAGAACCACAGCTTGGCCGAACCGAGGATAATATGGATCCTCGTATTCAGGAATGCCCTTCTAGTAGGCCAGTTGAGGACTTGTCTGAAGTACTAGTCAACCAGAACGAACCGAGTAGGGTGTTAAGGATTGGAAACAATCTCAATCCCCAGCTCGCCAGCGAACTGACTAGCTTCCTCAGGCAGAATATCGATGTGTTCGCATGGTCACACATGGATATGGTCAGGATCAGCCCTGATATTATTTGCCATACGTTGAACATCGACAATGAGGCCAAGCCAGTTCGTCAAAAGAGGAAAGCGATGGATCTGAAGCGATATGCTGCCTTGAAACTTGAGATAGATAACCTCTTTCAGAGTAGATCCATCCAAGAAGCGCTCTACCCAACCTGGGTTGTCAACCCGATCCTAGTGAAGAAGCCCAACGGCAAATGGCGAACCTGCGTCAACTTCACCGACCTCAACAAGGCGTGTCCAAAATATAGCTTTCCCCTGCCAAAGATCGACCAGCTCGTGGATGCCACCTCAGGGTACGAGCTGCTGAGTTTTATGGACGCGTACTCGGGATACAATCAAATTCTGGTGTACGTGTCAAACGAAGAGCATACATCCTTTGTTACAGATCAGAGATTATACTGCTACAGAGTTATGCCCTTCGACTTCAAGAACGCTGGCACAACTTACTAGCGACTGGTTAACCGAATGTTCTCCGAACAGATCAGAAGAACAATGGAGGTCTATGTAGATGACATGCTTGTCAAGTCGCATGTCGTTTTAGATCACATAGCACATCTCGCTGAGATGTTTAACATCCTCCGACAGTACCGAATGAAACTGAACCCTCTCAGATGTTCATTCAGAGTATCCTCGGGAAAATTCCTAGGGTACATGGTTAACCAACGGGGAATTGAGATCAACTCCAAGAAAATTTAAGCTCTCCTCGATATGAAAAGTCCGACTAATAAAAAATAGGTCATGAGCCTAAACGGGCGAATAGCGGCGCTAAGTCGCTTCATATCGAGGTTAACAGATCACTGCTTATCATTCTTCAATATACTCAAGGCCAATAAGAAGTTCGAATGGACTCTCGAGTGCGAGCAAGTATTTCAGAGTATTAAGGAACACCTCATGAAGCCACCACTTCTGTCCAAGCCTGTCTTGCAAGAGATCCTCATGTTGCCATTGTCCGTCTCTCAGTTCGCGGTCAGTGCAGCCTTAGTTCGAGAGGAGAACAAAACACAATGGCCAGTATATTACGCGAGCAAGCGTCTGTTGGATGCCGAGATGCAGTATCCAAAGATGGAGCGATTGGCCTATACCCTGCTGATCGCTTCCTGAAAGTTGCGACCTTACTTCCATGCCCATACAGTTCATGTAATGACCAACTACCCGCTTAGGCAGGTCCTCCAAAAACTGGAGGCATCGGGTAAATTGCTCAAATGGGCTATCGAACTGAGCCAGTTCAATCTCCATTACAAACCAAGAGCAACTATCAAAGGGCAGGCTGTTGCCGACTTCATATCAGAATTTTCATGTCCAACGAATGAGTCGGAGCAACAGCCTAGCGAAGTCATCCAAGAAACTGTTAAAAATCTATCGTCCTGGAGCCTCTACGTCGATGCATCATCGAACAGAAAGAGGGTCGAGGTGGGTATTCTCCTAGTGAGCCCCAAAGGGGCTCGCATTCATGGCATTCTCTGGTTCGATTTTAAGGCAACCAATAATGAGGCCGAGTACGAAGCTTTGCTCGCTGGACTATGATTGGCCAGGGAAATTGGCACAACCACGGTTAGTATCCATAGCGACTCCATGCTGGTCGTTAACCAGATTTTGGGGGAGTATCAAGCCAAATAGGAAAATATGATCAGCTATCTGAAGAAAGCTAAGGCCGCACTCGAGCCGTTCAAGCACTTCACCATCACACAGATTCCTAGAGATAGCAACTCTGTGGCAGATACCTTGGCAAGGATAGCCTCATCATTGGACTCAGATGCACTAGAGAGCATTCATGTTCGATTCATCGAGATCTCCAATATCAGCCCGATCGAATAGGCCGTGAATGTAATAGAATCAGATTCCTAGATGGCCCCTATCATTCGGTATCTCAACTATGGGACCTTGCCTGACGACAAGGTCGAGGCAAGGACCATCCGAACAAGATTTGCTTGTTTTACCCTCATCAAAGACCAGCTGTATAGGCAAGGGTTTAGCGTCCCTCTCCTCCGATGTGTAAACAGCGAAGAGGCAAATTAAATCCTAATAGAGATGCACGAAGGGATCTGCGATAATCACATCGTCGCATGATCTCTCGCTAACAAAGTTGTTCGTCAAAGGTACTACTGGCCCCTAATCCAAGAAGACGCTTACAACTTTGTCAAGAAGTGTGGCAAATGCTAGCGGTTCTTAAACATACCGCGGGCCCCCTCTCACCAACTGACAATTATGACTAGCCCCTAGCCGTTCTCCATGTGGGGATCGATCTCATCGACCCCATACCGGTTGGTAAAGAGGGAGTAAAACATGTCGTGGTTGCAGTGGATTACTTCACCAAATGGGTTGAAGTTGAATCATTAGTCACGATCACACCTAGAAAGCTCAAGGACTTCGTCTTTAAGAACATCGTGTGTCGCTATGGAATTCCTCATATCCTTTTATCTGACAATGGAAAATAGTTCGATAACGAGGAGTTCAAGCAGTTCTGCGATGAGTTGAGTATTCACAAAAAGTTTGCCTCTATCGCAAGGCCGCAAGCAAATGGTCAACTTGAAGCCGTCAACAAAACTGTTAAGCATACTTTGAAGGCCAAACTTGGCGCAACCAAGGGAAATTGGGCCGACGACCTCCCTAAAGTTCATGGGCATACAGGACAACTCCGAGAACCTCTACCTCAGAAACTCCCTTTTCGCTAGCATATGGCTACAAAGCGATGATCCTTGTGGAGGTAGCAACCGGTTCACTTCGGAAGGACCTCTACAATGAAACAGACAATAAAGCGCTTATGCGCGCAAGTCTGGACCTAGTTAAAGAACATCGCAGCAAGGCTCAGCTAAGAATAGCGGTCTATCAGTAACACGCGAAGAGGTTCTTCAACTCTAAGGTCAAGAGAAGAGACTTCAAGGTCGGTGACCTCGTTTTAAAGGAAGTTCTTATCGGCACTAGAGAACCAAGTGCGAGAGTTCTAGGTCCAAACTAGGAAGTTCCATACCGCATCGCCAAATTGATAAGACTGGGGACTTATCATCTCAAACAACTGAATGGTTTCAAAGTGCCTCGAGCTTGGAATGTTGAACATCTCTAACCATATTATCAGTAATTCCAAACTCATTTTCCTTGTAAATATTTTTTGTAATCTTTCTATATGTAAATAAAAAATGTATCATTCTTTTGTGACAATCTTCGCAAGTGATTCTGTTCACATAGGCATGTTATGATTATGTTCGCAGACTTGTTCTAATGATAAACAGTTAAGAGAGTTATAATAAAGCGAACTCATAACAAAAGACTGTAAAGGCAAAAATGTATTTCATTAATAGATGGAGTACAGCGAGCAATGTCCAAAAAGAAAATTATTACAAGTGTCGGTCTACTCCAGGAAGCCCGACCTCACATCAGGGCTGGTTGGCTTTAGGCTCCGAGGGGTGTCCCGAACTCTCTCCCTGGGCAACTCCTCAGGCGGCCTCCTCTGCATCCTTGTCGTCGACTTGCGCCATGGATAAGAGCATCTCTTGCCATTCCTCTAGCAGGTCGGACATGTCAAGATGTGGGTTCTTCGACCGCAAGGCGTAGATGGACTGGATAGCCCATTCAGCAGCCTTTGCCTCGACCTCTGCTCCCCAGATCTGCATCTCTTCTATCAGGGAAATAACTTTTCCCTGATTGACTTGGAGCTCGTCCTCGAGAGCCTACCTTTACTTCTCAGAGGCCTTCCTATCCTGTTCTACTCGCAAGGCTCGCTCATAGGTCGTTGTGAGCTCCTGATCTTTCTCTCCGACCTCCCCGGAGAGTCTAGCTACGGTCCTTTAGAGCTCCTTCACCTCCTCCCATGCTTCACGAGCTCGGCTTTTTGGAAATCCACGGTGCGAAGAGCCACATTCCTTTCTCCTTGGATCCGGTTTGCCTCCGGCGAGGATCATTCTCTTTCTTCTACAGCGGCTTCGAGGTCCCGCTTGAGCTTCGCGTTCTCTTCTTTTAGCACGACCTCCCCCGTAGCAGCTCCCAACCGAACCTTCTGCATGGATAATTGCATGGAGAGCAGGGCCTAGGAACAAAGAAAATAAAGTTAGTATCGAACTTGATAAGAGAGCAGCCAGGAAGCTCGCTAAGGACAACTCATTTACCTTGCTTAAATGTTGGAGTGATGTGGACATCAGGTCCACGTCGCTGGAGCCCATGAACTCCTCGAATACTTCGACGAGTCTGCACTCCAGCAAGGTGAAGACGATAGGTTGTAGGTGCTCCGACAGGTTGCCCATTAGTCCAGCACTGGAGTATCCTTG